GAACTGCTGACCTTGCGGTTCGCAGCCCGATTCGTAACCATTACGCTACCAGAGCTCCTTGTTGTTCTTATGTGCTCTGAAGTCAGTTTTGACTCATAGAAGCCACCCCCGACATAGGGTTTCAGAGACTTTAAATCTTTTCAACTTTGTAGGCGCAGATACCCTCATCTTTCTGCTGAGGAGTGGCTGGTGGGCTCAAACCACTGACTTTGTGATTCATAGTCCAACTCTCTCCCTATTCTTATTTGGTTATCAAAATAACAAAATTGTTGTTGTTATGTGCCTTCAAATCATTTCTGACTCTCAGCGACCCTATATAGGGTTTCCAAGTTATTCAATGCACACTTATATTAGTAAAGATTTTAGGGAAAAGAGGAAATAATTACCAGTACTCTCAACATGGTTGATTAAAATCGTGCCCTTCTCCTTGAGATCAGGTTATTAATTGGTTTCTGTTGCCCTATTCATCTGCACAAATCCTCAAGTTTTTGTTGGAGGTTTTAAAATAATGTTATTAGTTGCCATGAGTAGAGTCTGACTCATAGTAACCCCTGTTATACAGAGTATTTGTGCTCCAGAGGGTGTCCAAAACCATGCCCTTTCATGAAATTGTCAGACTCTCTATATCCCCAGGTACCTGTGGATGTATTAGAACCCACCAACTTTTAGACAAGTAAAATTTAACCATTTGCACTATCATGGGGCCTGGTTGCAAGTGGGTTAAGCATTGGGCTGCTAGCCTTAAGGTCAGCAATTCAAACCTCCAGCTGCTCCATGAGAGAAAGATGAGGGTGTTTGCTCTCATATGAACAGTCTCAGGAATGCCTAGTTACAATGTATTGTTGTTGTTATTAAGTGCCATCGAGTAGGGTTTCTGAGAAGCAGCTGGGAAGTTTGAATCTCTGATCTTCATTAGCATTCTGGTGCTTACCTTATTGTACCACACTAGGATCCCTTTCAGAACATTTTAGAACAATTCACTTGGGTCATACTGAGTCACTATGAGTTGTACTAAGGAGTCCTGCTAGCATAATGATTACCAGTTGGGCTGCTAATCACAAGGTCATCAGTTTGAATCTAATAGCCACTCCAAAGGAGAATGATGAGGCGTTTTGCTCCTATAAATATTTAGAGCCTTCGAAACCTGCTGCAAGGTCACTAATTGGAAGTGATTCAGAAGGCACACCATTATCACCACCACCTTGAGTTGGGATGGACTTCCAGGCAGTGGGTAGGGTGGGACTACTTTTTAACATAACAAGGAATTCAAAGTATTCTCTCTCAGGAAGCAAGAAAAATGCCTAAAGTTAAATTATTTGCACAAGATAAAACTAAAAGTTAAGTAATTGCACCATTGGATAAGCACTCAAACTAAAGGTAGGTTTGACCCTGAAAGTTGGCTGTTCAAATTCACCAGCCACTCTTTGTAAATCCTATACAGGGTCTCTATGAGTCAAAACGAACTCAACAGCATTTAACAACAACAGCAACATAACTATAAACATAGGCATTGTTTCCAAGTATTTTCTTTCCAAATATTATAAACAGTGACATACTGAAGATGCTTTAGAATGTGTATTCACATAGTGAATAGGTTAATATATGCAACACACTTTTCTAGTGGAACTAATGGATCAAAAAATGAAATCTGAAATTTTATTAAGCACAGATGTTCTTTTGTTAATGCAACATATGCAATGATAAGGTATATGTATATTTTAAATAATGATCTTTATATTTTTTAGACCTCTTCAAAGATCCTATTCCAGGGTAAACTCCAACAAGAGTTCATGAGAATGTGCTCTTTTCCCCACATTTTTCACAGCCTTGCATATGATTAAGCTTTTCAATATTGAATATCTTTATATTTATGTCTCTATTTTTATTTTCTTATCATCACTGAGAATTCTCCCAGTATTTAGAAGTTGTTTTTTTTTTTTTTTAATAGTTTGTTTTTCTATGAACTATATCTTGAACTTATTGACTATTTTCTTTCTTTGGTTTCATGTTTTTCTTACTGATTAAATACATACACACACACATCTGTATGTATTTATAAAGAAAATCTAGTAGTGCTGTGGGTTCAGTATTAGGCTGCTAATCATAGGTCAGCAGTTCAAACCCACCAGTCTCATGTCTCAGGAGAAAGATGAAACTGTCTTCTCCCATAAAGATTTATAATGCGGGAAACCCAACATAGGCTGCTATGAATTGCAATTGACTTGATGTCAGTGATTTGGTTTGATTGTGGATTTCAATTATAACACTGAATTTCTAGTAGTGTTATTCTTTAGACTTTATTAGTAATACTTCTTTGAATGTATATGCTTTTAAAACATGAAATCAATGTTTGTTTGTTTTTTCCTTCATAACATTTAAAATTGTATTATGGTGTAGCACTATAGGATGAGCAGTGGACTTGCTAACAGCAAGGTCTGTGGTTCAAATTCTGCAGCAAATCCTCAGAATCTCAATCAAAGTCACAATAAATCAGAACCAACAAGATGGCACTTAACAACAATAGCAAAAATATCAATAGGAAACATACACCATCTCAGAAGTTTCAACATATAAAACTCAACTGTTACAGCAGTTTTAGACTCGAGAGTGACACAGCAGCTCTTGATCAGTTGAAGACACGGAGGCCACTCAGAAAGGTGAAGTAGAATTTCAGATTTTATTAAGCTGGCTGGCTCAGACAAGCTAATTTCTCCAGATTCTGAGTGTTGAATATAAAGCAGTACAGAATCAGGAGGGATTAGGTTGCAGACCTGTTTGAAGACAGGAGGGAAACCAGAGGATTGGTTTTGCTCAGTAACTTGATTAACATTCTAGTTTGACTCCCGGGCAGAGAGGATTGGTTCAATAACCTGATTAACATTTTAGCTTTTCTCCTGGGCAGAGAAGGCAGTGAATGTTTTTACCTTTTCCTGTTCACAACAAGATTGATTCAAATTTTCAAGCCCTGCCATCATTTTCACTATTGTTTTTCAATTCTTCTACCACCATTAGGAAGCCTGGTATTGGCGCTTTTGGATAATGCACTGGACCACAAGGTTGGTTTGAACCACAAGGTCAGTTTGAATTGCAAGGTCAGCAGTTCAAATTCTCCAGTTTCTCTATACAGGGTCACTGTGAGTCGGAATCAACTCAACAGCACTTAACAACAACAACAACAAATAGTGATATAGAAGTCAACACTTTTGCCCCCATAAATAATCAGTTATCAAACCATGTTTAGGCTGTATATTCAAAGTATATTTAGATATTCTTTAAGGGTAGTTTCCTCCCTCCCCATACCCCTACCCCTAATTCAGAATTTCCTTGCCTAGTTTCAAGGGCTTCTTTTCCAATTCCTTTTGTATAAGATACAATAGCTTTATTTAACCTACATAATGACTTTTGTAGTTAACAAGCTTTTCATACCACACACAAAAATGAGGAATCTTAAGGCATGTCAATAAAACAAGTAAGGCAGGCCAGATTAGATGAGAACATTATGAAAACATATATGAATTTTCCAAGTTTTCACAATTCTGTAGTGTTGGACAAGAGAATGGACCATAGCAGTTTAGGTTATGCACCAATATTTTTACTCTACTCCTTTTTTGTCTCTCAGAAGTTTGTCTCCTCAAACATGTTTGTCTCTTCAAACATGGCTTCTTTTGAAAGTAGTGAGACATGTCTGTGTGATAAAAACTAGGTTAAGTATTCTGTATATAATGGATACTTCATAGAAACTATTAATTGGTTAAAGCAGCCCTCATGGTGCTTTCTGGTTTGACAGTTAACTCAAGGTCAATTGTTTAAACCCACCTGCAACTCCTCAGAGAAAAGTGAAACTGTCTGATCCCAGAAAGATTTGCAGTATAAGTTGTTTGTTGCTGTTGTTAAGTGCCACTGAGTCAGTTCTGAATCATAGCGACTCTGTATAGGGTTTCCATGGAGCTTCTGGTGGGTTTGCATCACCTCCCTTATGGTTACCAGTTCAGTGTTTACTCTATAACGTCACACCTGGATTGCCTCTATACTGTTTTTGTTGCTATTAAGTGTCAGTTCTGGTTCACAACAACCCTGTACAGGGTTTTCCAGGAGTAGCTGGTGAATTTGAACCACTGACCTTGTGGTTCCAACTGACATTGTGTCCAATGCTTATCCTATAGCTCCACATCAGGACACTGTAAGGAGTCATAATAGACTTGGATAGCAGTGAGGGTTTTTTTTCCCAAAACTTTTGATTAGGAGCCAAATGCTTAATCATTTGTGCCACCCAGGGCTTCCTAATCAATACCCACTGCGGATGAGTAAATTCCATATCTTAACCACTGTGTCACCAGGGCTCCTTAACCAAAGATTAGTCATTCCAGTCTACCCAAAGACATGCCAATATAAAAGGTTCATAATCCGTATCTTATAGTCCACAATCATTGAAAACTCTATAGCATGCAGTATTACTCTGATGTACATAGGGTTGCCATGAGTCAGAATTGACTTTAAGGCAACTGTTATATTGTTATTTTTTTTGTAATTGGTTGAATATTTAGGGGCTGTATTTTGTGGTTTTGAGGCTTTGGCAGTGCATAAAGAACTTGAGTATCTTGCAGAATGTTGTTGTTCTTGTTAAGTGCCATGGAGTTGATTCCAATCCATAGCAACACAAAGAGTGATTTATCAAAATAGAATTAACCTTTCACTTGCTTCATATGAGAGAAAAGTCTAGGATGGCAGTGTTAAACCCAATCACCTGGGTTCAAATATCAGTTCTGAACATTTAGCTTCTCAAATATGGCAATTTTTAATGCATATGCCTCAGCTTTGTTTCTGCAATTTGGGGATGATAATAGTACCAACTCCATATTATTGTTATAAGGTTATTGATAAATAAATGTAAAAGTCATATAAAACTACTTTGCTCAAAGGTAGGTCTCCATTAATGTTAGTTATTGCAATTGTTACTGTTATTGTTATTATTATGTTTATCTTCTGATGCAGTAGAGATGATGGATGGCACCAATGACAGCTCTCAAAGCCATTTCATCCTTTTGGGGTTTTCTGATCATCCCCATCTGGAGAGAATCCTCTTTGTGGTCATCTTAATTGCCTATCTCCTGACTCTTGTAGGCAACACTACCATCATCCTAGTGTCACGGCTGGACCCTCACCTCCACACCCCCATGTACTTCTTTCTTACTCACCTTTCTTTCCTGGATCTTAGTTTTACCACCAGCTCCATTCCTCAGTTGCTCTACAACCTTAACGGACTTGACAAGACTATCAGCTACGCTGGTTGTGCCATCCAGCTCTTTCTGTTCCTGGGTTTGGGTGGTGTAGAATGCCTGCTCCTGGCTGTCATGGCATATGACCGGTTTGTTGCAGTCTGCAAGCCCCTACACTACATGGTGATCATGAATCCACGGCTCTGCTTAGTCTTGGTGTTGGTGGCCTGGGGGTGTGGGATGGGCAACTCCTTGGCCATGTCTCCAGTGACCCTGCACTTACCCCGTTGTGGTCACAACCATGTGGACCACTTTCTGTGTGAGATGCCAGCCCTGATCCGGATAGCCTGTGTCAATACTGTAGCCATAGAAAGCACTGTATTTGTCTTGGCTGTGGGCATTGTGCTTTCACCCTTGGTTTTTATCCTGGTTTCCTATGGCTACATTGTAAGGGCTGTTATACAGATTCAGTCATCATCAGGGAGGCAAAAGGTCTTTAACACTTGTGGCTCCCATCTCACTGTGGTCTCACTTTTCTATGGAAACATCATCTACATGTATATGCAACCAGGAAATAGCTCCTCTCAGGACCAGGGCAAATTTCTCACTCTCTTCTACAACATAGTCACTCCACTCTTGAACCCTCTGATCTATACTCTCAGAAACAAAGAGGTGAAGGGGGCAATGAGAAGACTGCTATTGGGTAACAGAGATGTTGGAAAGGAGTAAGGACAACTCCTGCCTGCACACCAAGCTCTGATTTCCACCTCAATCAACGGTCATTAATGGTGCCCTGAAAGTATTGAACCTTGTCGTGGCCTGCAATGCTCCTTATTTGTCTTTTATTGAAATTCTAAAACACTGTTTAAGTTCTAAAATAATACATCTCATTGTATAAACTATACAACACCTATCACCCTACAAAGGGCCCTCAGATGATTAATAAAGAACAAAGAGAAAAAATAATTACAACAGTGTGTTTCTTTCAACATGTGCCAGAGTGCCAAGTAGGAAATAAGTTTCTTAATCAAAGATTTTGGTTTGCTATTTGTTTTTAATTCATTCACAGCATTCTGGGTGCTTTTGTCAAAATGATAGCATATTTTCTACCATCACTGATCCTGACATGCACTAAAAGTTTCTCTTATTTTCTTGCCATCAAATATCAGAATTCACCAAAGTTTGGTGTTTTCTACTTCCTGTCTTCTTAATCAAAGCCTTTCGTTAAGTCTTACTATTTTTTCTACAGTTGGAATTTCTCTATACTCTTGTCTCAGATTCTGGATAAACCAAGAAGTTAACTTACAATGATAATATATGTGTCAAATCTAAAAGTATGATTACTTCTCAAATTCATGTTACTTCTCTAGGGAGAAGAATCTTGTGTTTATTAAGTTTCTGCAATGTGCTAATTTCTTGTAATCTATCTGCTCAGCATATTTCTCAGTTGAGCTTGATTATTATTATATTCACTTTTCCCACTTGCAAAATCAGACTTTAAGGCTAAATCATTTCTTCCAGGTGAACTGAACCAGAGTATTACTCCAAGTTCTGATTAATAATACCTGGTGTTTTACTGCTACATGAATATTAAAACAGTAAAAACTTTCAGCCATTCAATACGTCATATTAAAGACACTTTGGGGTTAAAGAGTCCATGTAACTCCCATTACTTAGTACAGTCCATAGTTGTTTCTACTTCTCATTAAGACAAATTACCTAGAAATCTTGTGAAAATACAGACTCATTTAATTCTTCTTGGATGGAGAATCTGCATTTCTACCAATCTCCAGTGGATGCCCTTGCTGCTGATACTCAGACTACATTTTGAGCATCAAGAAATAGATGACCCAAAACTACGATCATCCACAGGACAGGCAGATTCTGAAAAATGCTGAGATCACTTACATAGTCTAAGGGGAGACAATGACAGGACTGAATGAAAAGACAGATTGAGGGGATGGTACTCATTCCCTTGCTATTACATCTATTTTTCAGTCCCTTTGGCTTCACAGTCTCTTCCTTTCTACCATGGCTTGTACTTATATTGCAACAACATAACATTAGGAATCTTGGTGGCGTAGTTTGTCACATGTTGGACTGCTAACCGCAATATAAAGAATTTGAATCCACAAATCACTCCATGGGAGAAAAAAGAGGCTTTCTGCTCCCATAAAAATTTACAGCATTGGAAACTTTACACTGGTTTGATATGAGTTGAATCAACTCAATGGCAGTAGGGTTTTTTGTTTTCTCCAATATATACTATAAAAAGATAATTTTCAAAAGGCAAAACTATGACTCATACAGAAATAAGAATTAATACCTGTTAAAGAACTTGTATTACTCATATGTTATGAGTCAGGCTGCTAACTGCAAGGTCAGCAGTTTAAAACTACCAACCATTCTGTGGAAAAAAGATGAGGCTTTCTATTCCCATAAAGATTTACAGCCTTGGAAACCCTACACAGGGTTGCTATGAGTCATAAATGAGTCCACGACACACAACAACCACCACCAACATAAAAACCAGAATAGGAGCCCTGGTGTGGTGCTGTAGGATAAGCACTGAACTGCTAACCATAAGGTCAGCAGCTCAAAACCACCAGGAAACCCTATACAGAATCACTTTGAGTTGGAATTGCCTTGAAGTCACACAATGGAAACAACTGGCCTCAACATAAAAAAACTGCCATATATGTATGTGGAAGGAGCTCTGGTAGCGTAGTGGTTACGAATCGGGCTGCGAACCTTAAGGTCAGCGGTTCGAAACTACCAGCAGTTCCGCGGGAGAAAGATGAGGCTTTCTACTCCTGTAAGGATTTACACCCTCGGAAACCCTGTACAGGGTCGCTATGGGTCGGAACCGAATCGATGGCACTTAACAACAACAACAACAACATATGCATGTGGAGTGGTTGATGTTGTTAGTGGCCATGGAGTTGATTCTGATCCATGGTGACACATTGCAGTACTATTGTACTATTCTTTACACTTGGGGTCACTACAAGTACATGGAGTAAAAGGATATTAAGATGAATTGCAAATGAAAACAGAACTGGTTGTTATGGATTGTTGGTAAGGAGAATTTGTAACAGAAGTCAATTTAATTTCTACCAGAAAGGACCTAATATCACACTGCAGGATAAGTACTGTACTGCAAAGTCAGTTTGAACTGCAAGTTTAGCAGTTTAAACTCACTAGTCACTACGTGGAAACTTTATACAGGATCGCTATGCATTGGAACTGGCTCAAAGGTACTTAACAACAACAGCAACAGACAAGACATAATCTGTATATCTATCTATCAGTTAACCTACAATTTATAAGAAGGTACAAAATGCATCAAATCTAAAGCAAAGGGCTAGAATTTGATAATCAGAAAGCTGTGTAGTATAGGTGATAAATAGTTTTCCATGAAAGCACTCTCCCCCCTCACGCCCCACTTTTTTGCTAACAATACAAGAATGGGCAGTGTTTCCTTCTGTTGTGCATAGGGTTAGTATGATTCAGAGTCAACTGAATAGCACCTAACAACAACAACAATTATAATTCATAAATTTTGGTCTTTTGGTGTGTGACAGCCACTAAAGATTTTTCCAGACTTAGGGGAAAAACTTATTTAGACCTAAAATGAAAATTTAGAGAATTGATTGGGCATTGGGACTACTGGTTTGGAGATGTGGGTTAATGTGCTGTACTGCAAAGTCAGTTTGAATAGCAAGATAGGCAGTTCAAACTCACCAGTTGATCCTCGGAAACCCTATATGGGGTTGCTGTGGGTCAAAACTGACTCTATGGCACTTAACAACAACAACATACTGGGCATTAGAGAGGCATTCAAATGGGAACTCACCATTGTATAAGCAAAAACATGGTGATTTCAGTGAGAGGATCTCTAGCAGGAATGGATGGATGGTCGTGGTAGTGATGTACCATAGAGTCGGTTTCAACCCTATGCAGGGTTTCTGAGGCTGTAAATCTTTATCCTTCTCTCAAAGCATGAATAGATATTAGGTAAGAAACAAAGATATGATAATACAATCATTGATTTGTTGCTTTTGTGTGGGGTCACAAAAGAGAGGCTTAAAAAACAGAGGAAAGTCTTTTATTTGATATAAATGCTTAGATATGCTTAGTTAAGCTACAAAGATTTGCAATAATAGTCATAGGATGTTTACAATTTATATTTTGTAGAATAGGCTATAAAATGTTGTAGGGACAACAATTGAATGCTACAAAATGGCCACTCTACTAGCAACCCAGGAGAAATGCTTTGTTATTCTCTCTCTCTTCCACTCTACCACATATCTCTGACCCTGCACACTGAAACTCTGTATTCCCATGGATTAGCTACTTGTATCTACTAGGGAGTAGCAATGCTGTGCTGCTGTGTTTTTCCTGTAGACTTGGCTGGAGATAGGACTCTCTTTATACTACCCTTCTCCTTTCTTGGAATAGAAGGCTTGTTTACCAAGTATAAAAAGGACCCACAAACCCCTCCCAGTGTGAAATCTTGACTGTCCAGCCAGCTGCAATAGAAAACAGCCACTTTACTGTTCAAGTTAGTACTTTTCTCTGTTTGTAAACTATCTCTTCTTTTCTGAAATACACTAATATCTTTCAGACTGTCTCCTGTTCACTTTTTCTGTCTCTCAACGAATACCCACATGCAAGGATTTTCCCTTCTGGGTTTGAATCAAGACAATTGATGAACCAGCCAAGAAACAGGAAAAGCCCAGGACTCTCAAAATGAGATGGGAAGGAAAAGGTACTTCTTGCAGATAATCTTGGAATGGCCATTGGTCTCCAAGTATGGCCCCATGGCATAGTTTTTAGAAACATGGGGACCAGCATATGAGTACAGGGACACTCTAAAAGCACTGCAAGGATTGAAGGAATTCCTACAGGGAGGTGGATGTCTCTAAGGCTAATGACACTAACGCATTGGTTGTCACTATATCCTGGCCCCTCTTATGTGCTTTACAAGATACTATTGAAGTAGCACCAGATGCACAGCTTGAAGATGGGAGATGAGTTGCATTTGGAGAGTCACAGGTTGCACTGGCCAGCAACAACTGGGCCCTGGCCACACTCTACAAACATCATATTCTGCTGCTCTACTGGCTCCTGAAAGAAGCAGTACATCACCATATGGGACTATACTGATACTGAGCTGGTAAAGTTAGATTGCCAAAAGGGAAAGAGTCTATTACTACTTATCTCCTCTAACTGTGGAATCCTTGGGTAGAGGACAGAGTAATCACTGGCCTGGAAATGTGTAAAATGGTCTGTGTAACCATCCAAACTGCATGGTAGCAGCATCTCTATGCTGCAATGAATGAGGCCCAGGTAATACTTGTTTTAGTTTGGATTATAGCTATCTGTATGGCTGCCTGGTTGAAAGACAGAGACATTTTGGCCTCCTCCACATGCTGGATTGTTGTTGCTGTTGTCAGGTGCCATCGAGTCGGAACCGACTCATAGCTACCCCATGCACAGCAGAACGAAACAATGTCCGATCCTGGCCCAACCTCACTACCGCTGCCACACTTGACGCCATCAATGATGCCACCTGGCCAATCCATCTCGTTAGGAGTCTTCCTCTTTTTCTCTGACCCTCCACCTTACCCAGCATGACATCCTTCTCCAGCAACTGTTTCCTCCAGACAATATGTCCAAAGTATGAGAGACGAAGCTTAGCCATCCTGGCCTCCAAGGAATACTCT